CAGTTGCTGCTCTCAAAAGAGGTGTGGCCTTTTTACTAATTAAGCAGTACAAAAGTTGTAAACAAGCACATTGCTTAATGTACAAACCATACTCCTTAAATATTTGCATTTATCACAAAATTTTACAAGTCGTTTATCCTTAGCTTCATATTGTGAGATCTTATTTCTTTTATTTTATGAGTTATATCTCAACAGTTCTAATACTAGTAGGAATCTTGAAACCTGGGGTTTAGATCTGGCTCTTCTCTTTTCGTGGTGTAGGCACAATGACTTAACATGGTTTTAAAGAAGGTATCCCTGGATGATTCAGTCCTGTTCCAGAATTATTCTTCTGGTGCAAGTAAAAACACACGGGGCCCTTTTTTGATACATCTTTGTGGATCTTTTTTGATATATCTTCTCGATTTATCCTAAATTTTGCCTTAGCTGATGAGCATATATAACAAACATATCTTGTTAGTTATATCCTTTCAATATCTTCAAAAAGATTTTTACATTATGTGGTATATTATAAAAAAATAAGACTAAATTTTTATATACATCAAAATTAGTAAGTTACTTTGAAGACATGTGCATTGTTAGGTCACATTCTAAAGGGTGTGGAAGATGTCGATGAGAGCTGGTTAGAAGACAGTGGTAATATCCAGAAAGCTTGAAGTAAAAGATAGAAGCAGTGTACCTTTCAGCTAGACACTGGTGACAGCAGTGATCACAACAGTGATAGAAAAGGTACCGTAGCAAACACATCTCATTCTTCACACCACTTAAGCCTTCTAATCCCTTTTAGTTTTTTTTACACTGGTTTCCCATAGGTTCCATTGGGTTCTAAGTGCACTTGAATTATTAAAACAAAACATCACTGATTAGCTGTTTAAAAGGAAAGAGGAAAATCTTGATTTTCCAGTGTTTCGTCAGTAGGTCTAGTGGTTTTCCTTTATTAGATTCAGTAATTATTTGGCAAGAGACTGATCAATTCATAAATTCTTACCTAGCAAGTCTGCTTATGAAAGTACTAATAACTGGAAGTAAACTATTATATGTATGTTTTCTCTTAAGTTTTCTGGAGAATATGCTGTTTCTTCCCCCTTTGTGGGAAGAATGAATATTTCTTTTTGTTCTAGGTGACCTAGAGGACATTTATTTAACAAGCTATTTTTGTTATTTAGTTTCTCAGCAAAACCTTGCCAATATAATAATTAGTAAGATCATACCTTAGAATTCTTTTATATTCAGATACAAAATATCTGAATATAAAAAATATAGCAATTATGCAAAAAACGCTCCCAAGAAGAAATTTGTCACAACTAGAGAAAGAGGAACTCGGACCCAAGAGCAAACTAGAAAGCAGAGGTAAGGATTTCTGTAAAGCATGTAAGTATCTAAAATAGATGACCTTGTGTTTTCCCCATTCCTGGTTCTTTAGCCTTTCAAGGGCTGAAACTATTCACCCACCTTCCCACCTGCTAAGCAATTCCAACTCAAATGAACAAATTCACTCTAGACCTATCTTTCAATGCTCGATGCCATCTTCCCTCCCTCCCTTTAAAAATAAGAACACTAGTGAATAATTTACAGTGTAGAGTGTTACTTTAAATACAGTAAATCTAATATAAATTTGAACTGAAAATCAAAGCAGATTTCTCAAAATACTAACGTCAATGTTATTTTGACTGTTCATTGCTGTTATTTAAAAGGAGATGGTCAACATACATATTTGGAACAAGCCATATGAGATACCAGGATTAGTCCTGGCAGTGTGATACCATACAGACTAAGTCATATCTTTTGGATACTAGCAGGCAACCCTAAAAAAATAGGTAAGACATCCAATTTACCAAGACACTGTAAATATCTTATCCCTTGTAGATACAAACATTATTTTAAACAGAATAGGTCGGACAAGTAACATTCAACAGAAATGATTCATGTACCAAACACATAATAAAATGAGAAAAAATTTATTCTATGAATGAAACATCTGGGACACTATATACCTGTAAAAAGTTCTAAATCTGAAATTCGAACACATTGTCCAAAGTCAATGGAACATAAATCAAAGTTGCAAAGAATCATGCAGTTCACTGCACATTTGTCTAACATTTCTAATCTCATACAAAATCCAAAGTGCTCAGAAAAATTTAAATGAAACTACAACATTTCTGACAAGAATAACTTTCAGTTTTCAGAATGATTAAGCTAATTATTTAACCTACATGCAGTCTCTATAGGTCAATGAGTCCATGCATACGAATTGATATGTAAATGTATTACACATATTCTCTATCTCGCTCTACTAACTGTATATGTATATACACAGGGAGTCCAAAGATTGATCCACCAAAAAACCATACTTTAGTCAAAATATTTTGTTATGAAATATTTTGTTTCATATTACCTTGAAATCAAGCATATTTATTCTGGCTTAAAGTGGGTTTTTTTGTTTGGTTTTTTCTTTTTTTGGTTGGTTTTTGTTTTGTTTTTTGGGGGGAGTTTTTTTTTGTTTTGTTTTGTTTTGCTTTTTGTTTGTTTGGTTTTTTTTTTGTTTAAAAGCCGAAATGTCACATTCAAAATGAACATTAATCCAGAATTCATTCAGAAGTGATGAGAAAATAGTATTTCAATATTTTTAATACTTTTTTGTTTCCAAGTTAATTAAGAGGAAAGGAAGTTCTCATAAACTTTAGCATATACAAAAATAAAGTGCACAACGCTAGGCAAAAAATTTAGGCCTAGCAAAAATGGTTTTGATGACACAGGTGATGACAGGTCTGAATTGGCTCTTTCAAGATATATTTTTCTACTACAGATATAAGATCAACTTAAATGGATTTTGCTTCTGTAATGTAAACAGCCACATATATAATACGACTACATGTAAATGGACAATATGGGCCCAGAATTATGGCCGTATGTTTACAGATTAAAGGCATCTGTAGTAAAATCAATTGATGTTGATTAACATTATTCTAAATAAAAGCAAATTAAACTCATTCATTGCTACTGGCCTGCTCACTGAATATTTGATTGACTTGTTAGAAATGGGTTTAGAACATTATGGGTTATAATGGCATTTTCTTAATAGATATTTCAGTTTATTTTACATGTGTGGACATTTTTTTTTAAAAAATGAGATTTTACATTCATGTATTATAGGATAAAACGTACCACATCTACAAACTCATTTCTCTGGTGTTGCAGTTATCAGAATGAGGTTCAGTGCAGCACATTCAAAACAGAATAGCATGTGTTGTGTTCTATTAGCAATTATCACACTATATCATGATAGCAAGGGGACCTTACTGAGTTCATTTTTTTTTTAATGAGATGTATCAGTTCATTGTTTACACCAAGAATGTTGCATTTACTATTTAAAGCCTCCATGGTTCATACATGCATTTTGGCTTAGTGAGGAAAGTGTTAAAGTCCGCCACTTCTCTGATACTTTTAAAGCTGTACAGTATATTTTAGCAATCTCAGAGTTTAAGTAAGCAAACAAAGTGGAATTAATCTCTGCTCTTATTACAAAATTACATCTGTGAAACATCTGAATTGGAGCTTATCTTTGAGTGACTGCTTATGACAGAGGTCATTGTATGTTTTCTAATGCTTTAAAACTTCAGTCAAGATAGAGCTCACAGTTAAATGAAGAGATCACAAGGAAGAGATGTTAAGGCAGAGACTTCTTAACTCATATACTCAAGGGGAGAATAAAGTAGCCACCATGTATCACTGCTTGAAGCAGGACACATTTCTCAGACAGAAAATGCAGAAGGCAGTTGCATCTTAGCAATTTCCTGGTGCCTTTCATCTAAACACCATGTATTTCTAAATAAAAACTAATGAATTAAGCTGCTTAACATATCTACAAAGTAAGTACAGTGAAGAAGACATGTACTTACTTTTTTGGCAGATGTCCTAGTACCTAATGTTGCCGATCATAAAATGAGCCAGAGCAACAGTTGCAAGCTATCACGAAAAAAAATTACATACACTTTCCTAATCTACAGAGTGCTTTGTGAGAAGCTGGAGGGAAAAACACTGAAATACTGCTGGCTGAGTAATTTTGAAGTTATATGGTTTCCTGATGAAAAGGAAAAGCAAGTTTTAAGAAGAACGTTCATGAAAAGAATAAACCTATTTTACAATCAATTCTATTCTTTATGTTGATATACATTTGGTAAAATCTCCATTTATCAATTTCATGAGCTCCTGAAAGTCCCATTTGACAGTTTTAGAAATACAGGACTAGCTACAAAAACCAGAAAAATGGAAATTCAAGTTACAATTACTCTATTCTGATTATTTAGTGTATGTATGCACAACTCACAAAAGTAGTAGCTTGAATATTAAAAACATGCCTGGACATGCTCACTTCCAGTTCTTGTAAGGCTTGTAAAGGAGGAAAAATTATCAGCATGTAATGATTTTTAAATCTTACGTAGATACCTTCACATTGATTATGTGTGTTTGATTTCATAAAGATTTTTCTAGAATTCTCTTCATTTCTCTAGGAAATTTCAGTAAATGTAAATAAAAGTTGCTGCAAGTGTGTATCCTCTAAAGAAGCCCATCTTTACACAGTGTAAGAATGTCCTCTAACATAATTTCAATCCAGTATTGGAAAATTTTCTGAACAATTCTCTCAGCTAATCACAGTTATGTATTTTCAGAATTCTACTAAAAAATAACAATAGTTAAGAACTGGACTTGATCTGCAAATTCCCTTCATTTCAGAGTACATACCACCAGGTTGAAGGATTATTTTTCTTCTAATGCAGCAAATGCATGAGACTAAAGTGTTTCTTAAAAAAACCCTGCAAAATGTTCCAACAGTAGAAAAATATCAGCAATAAAACACTATTAGAAGCATTTATCATCAGAGCACCAAATTCTTGGCTTTGCTACCTTGATTCAACTATATGAAACAAGACAAGAACATTTTGTTAGATTGCAGTGATAAGGTCTGTTGATGTGTCTTGGCAGGAAAATAAAATAAAACATTACCTTTGCGACTCACTGAAACAAGGTTGCTTATTCTGTTTCTTTGCTCCTACAAACCACGTGTTCATGGTTTTAAAATAAATAAGCCATAAATAACAATAGAACTAAAACTAAATAAAATTGTGTATGTATTATTTCGCTGTATGCTTATCACCTTTATTATTTTTTCAAATGTTTTTTGGCTCACATTTATACAAAGCTCTCTTCCATATTTGTGCATAGCAGAAAGGAATCCACAAGTCTGGGCTTCACTAGCTGCTGAAAATCTGAATCTTCAAGTCCATCAGGACTCATAACTGCTAGTCTCCGTAAGGCTGCCTAGAAAAACACAAAACAATTTCAATACTGTTAAGGTTTGAAAAGTCTTCATTGCAGGACTCAATACAATTATTCCTAAATAATTGCCAAAACTCAAACCTGAACAGTGACAGTGTGAGTCTATAGACTCTTCTGATTTGTTGATCTCCCATTACTGTCTTCATCTGCGAGATTAATTTCCCCTCAAATGCAGCTATTAAATGACAGTTCTTTCTGGGTACATTACTCTCAGACCAAAGCAGCAGGGACAGCATGGTGTCAAAGAACACAGAGGTGAGAGTAATAGCACTTTGACTGTAAACCTTTCTCTAATCTGCTGCATACCTCCTGCTGGTTCTTTGTATCTCAACTCTCAGCTTTTGTCTTATTTATGAGAACTATAAGCCATCTGAGTCAGAAAACATCTGCTACTGAAGTTTTATGCAATGCCCGTAACAGAAATCTTTTAGATACTAGTTTAGTAGAAAGAAGCCATACATTTCAAACCATTTGGGAACAAATAAAACTGCCAGTTGCTCCGATTATGAGGCTGCACAATAAAAATCACATTGATGTTACTATTATCTTCATAAAATCTCCCCTTCTAAGAAGTTGTGGGGTTTTTTTTCCTCACTGGAGAAAAATATACATCCATTAGATACCTTCTAGCAACCTGACATGGCACATACAACTGAAAAGCAGGCTGGCTTTCCTCAAGTATAAGATTTGTCTTCTATTAGCAAGATCTGATAGTTGTGATCAGCTTATCTCTGTGCTGTTTGCCAATGCAGCACTAACACAAGAGTTAATTGCCTGCTTCAAAGAATACAAAAAGTAAACAACCAAACTAAAACCAGCAAATACTACAATCCCTCAGACTTTAGTGGCAATACTTATCAAAGCCCGAAGTAGCTTATTTCTCAAGGGCAATATTTCTGTCATGTTTATCAGAAAGTGTCATCAGGCAGTTACCAAAATATCAGGAGAAGTAGTATTGCTGGGACAGGCAGGTAGGTAACATCTCAAGTAATAGGCATAAATTCAAGGAATGTGCAGCAACAGCTTCAATGAGACAGAAAAACCACAGTCTGGTTTGCTGCCATCACTCTGTGGCCTCTGCTGTAGCCATACACAATCAACATGCCTTCTCGGCAGGTATGAATAATAAACACAGCATTTCTTATGCTCCCATACTCTCCATCCTGAATGAATCCTGATTAAACAAGCAAAACTCCTCATGTGCTGGTATAAAGCTAGCAGTTAATCAAAGCTGCAATAACAAAGTTTTACATGAAAAATAACAATACTAAAAAGCACTGTCAAACAATATTCTTCAATCTTCATTCATCAACACCTATCTCCTACCCCTACATGACCCATGCCCCCAGAACACTCTTGTTGGTCAGAAGGCTAGGTGAGATTACTCATCTCTGACAGACGACGGGGGCTCACAGTCCATGCAGTGCAGAGCCAGCAGCTGGGATCTTTCTCTTAAGCACAGAAAGTGTTAACCTTTTGTTGGCCACTCCTTGGCTGGACACTATATTGTCTTGGAGACTCAAATAGAAAAAAAATTAAAAAAGGACTGTAGTGAAAGCAAAGAATGGCCTTTCCTCTCTTTGGCCTCTTTACATAAATATTTTCATCCATAGGAGTGTGTGCAGATAAAGGGCTGCTACCCCTGTGATTCAAGGCTTAATGCAGCAAACACAGCATCATCAGAGAATGGAATTTAGAATCACAGACACCTTAAATTCTGAAGTGTTCCACTGAAATTTTTTAGTGCTCGGTAATGTCAAGATGAAGCCATTTTTCCTTATGTGCTTAAATCTTCAACCGGAGGATAAGTAACTGACGCTGTACAGGATTACACTTCAGGGCAAAATTAAGAGACGCTGGCAGGAATTCACTCCTGAAATACTTATGCCTTTTGAAATCTAAAGGGCTGTTTTTTCTGCATTTTCCAGAATAAGTATGAAATAAAAAATTAAATGTACCTACCAGACATGCCACTAAAACAGAATCACTGTTGTTTCTTTCGGTTGGTGATCTGCAAAGTTTAATTAGGCGAGGAATACCTGAGTGCACAAACAGTATCAGGAGAAAGAATTTAGAAAACAAAGTCCTCATTTTGAGGTGAGGTCTTGGTTTTTTAGGTGTTTCATATTTATCTTCCTTAGTAGATATGATCTCTAATGCAAAGATGCTATGCAAATACTTAAGGGACTGTCCACAGAGCTATGCAGTTCAGATCAGACATAACTAATAGTTCTAATGTATAAATAAATACATACATTGTTTTTACCCGCTATTGCTGTTTCAGAATGGAGGTTGTGACCTCCATTTCTTCCCTATGAAAAAACTTCAGCCAAAAGAACAGGTTCCTTACTGTTAGATCACCGCATCCGAACCTGCTGGGGTCCGAGTTTTCTGTCCACTAACAGATCCTGCACAAGGGTTTAAATGAAGGAATGGAGGAGGCAGCACTGTCAGTTGACACAGTCTGCCACAGTTATGTGTTGAGTGGATGCTGCACCTCAGGTTCCTCTGAGAAATGAACCAGAGGTTCATTTAGTGCAACCTCCTCAGTCACTCTCCAGACAGACTGTGTAGTAAATCTATTGCAGAAAGTGTTCCAAGGGAGGCTAAAAATTAAAAGGAGCTTCTCTATGACTGGCAATTGCTCCCTCTTTTTCAGTGTGCCATTAAACTAGCAAACATCCTTACAGCTGAGTTTTACGGCTGCATCTGCCACTTCAGGATCTCGGCTGAGTCGTGCCAGCGTAACTGCAGATTTCTGTTGGACTCGCTCACAAGCAGCAGCTTCTGCTGAGTTTCCTGAAGATGACCTTTCAAAGAGCATTTCCATTAAAAGCTGAACACCTAGAAGGATGTAAGAGCCATTGTTATCCTCTCTCCAACAAAAATACTCAGTCCGAAAAAGTAAAGGCAAAAAACAAGCCAGGTAAAATACATACAAAATAGGGCATGAAGAAAGCATATATGAGGATGGCAGTTTGGCCATCAGCATTCAGGCACATTTGCTCTGTACATAAGTTTGCCTTCACTAGGAAGCTACAGAATTCCTGGAAGCAGAAAATGTGTTAACTTCCCTCCTCTAACTTCTTGACTCCTCTACAATTTGGTATTTTGGATTTCACAAATTTATTTCAGTCAACTAAATGCAATTTTTTATTTACTTCTAAGTTGACCTGAAGGTAACCACTAACTTCAACACCTGTATATTTCAGATCTTAACATGAAATTTTGAATTGAAGGAAGCAAAACTTTTTATTTCAGTTTATGCATATTTAAGCAAGCCTTCAAAAGTTCCCGTCTCAGACTGCTTACAGGTATTTTAGAATAGGGAATCCTTTAATGGGGGAAATGATGACATTCTTCCCCTTGAAGTTTACTGTGCAACTAACTCTTCACTTCAGAAGACATAGTCATCTTTGTCAAAATGGTTTCATTAACTTACTGTTGCCTGTAGAAGTTGATATTCTTATTGTAGCACCACAAAAGCAGGTGAAACTGTAATGATTTCTATTTTCTAGACTATTTAAAATGTAAGGAAAATTATGTGCTATTAGACTCCATATGCTATTAGGCATTCAGATTACTTCAGGTAACATCAGAGGATTTTAACAGTTAGAACATTTGCATAAATAATTAAGAGAATTAGCATCAGAATCATGCAGCTAGATAATAATCAATCGACATACAAAAAAGTCAGAGTTGAGAAGAAAATATATATAAACTCTCCAGGATTCAAGGACCCTTCTCAGTTTGTGAATCTGGCTTCTGACCAGCTTCTGATTATTACAACATCAGGCAGACACAAAAAGCCTTTCTACACAAGGTGAGTGTCAACCCTTCTCAAAAACCTGGGGGCAAATGCTTCTATGTGAGCTTCCATTATAGAGTGCACACACAAACTTTACTTCATCACATTGTGCTTGACAATCCATATGTACATCTCCACCTACAGCAGTATCTAGCAGGAGTTAGGCCTAGTTGCCACAGCTGTTAGTACAATTTTATGAACTTCAATCAAGTTTCTACTGTAGTAGAAATAGATGAAACATGATCAAACACCCGTCCCCTCAGCAATAAAACAGGTTTTGGTGTGTTCAAGGAAATAGATAGCCTTCATGGTTAACAGATCAACAATTTCTTAACAGATAAACAATCCAGGGCATATCTGGCTTGTGAGTATTAACAGCAAATCAGAAAACAATAGTACAAGTCAAACAGACAAACAGGGTATTCTCTACCCAGTCCTATAATTACAGGCACCTAGGGTCTTGTCTGGGAAATGTTAGGGTCTTGCCAACAGTTTCTAGAAAATATTCTGGGTAGGGAAGCCTCATGTGCGTGTACCAAGAGGTCCAGGACCAGCTCTCCAGCAACCAGAAACACGGGGAGCTTGGACCAGGAGCATTACAGGAACCAACATGTGGACCTGAGCAACCTCTCTCTGGGGCTGCCCATCTCTCCCATGCAACAAGGAGATCATATAAGAAATCACCATGCTAACCTGCCTTGCTCCTTCCCCTCACTGCATTGTCTTCTGCATGGGACAGGGAAGTCTGGTAATTTGTAAAATTACATATGCCTGTGAAAATTTCTTCAGTATCCAGATCAATCCAGCCTCCGCATTGTCACTTGGTTTCAAACTGCAACATCTATGATCTATCCACCTTAGCAAGGACGTCAAATACACACTTCCTCTGTGCACACATGGATCACATCAAGTAGATTAGTTGTGCCTGATCCTTGCAGCCATATTTGTGTACATAGATCTCAAAGTTTCCACTGAAATGCAGGAAGCTTCTAAATCCAATATTACATAGGAATTGGTCAATTCTATTTCAAGACCCACATCTTTCTGAAGCCCCTTCTCTCACCTACAATCAGCCCATGTCTGAGATTCAAATGGACACAAACCATTCCTATCCAAACCTTAATTTAAAAAGTCTGGATGGGATATTCCTAGGACAGAAAAAGCAATATGTGAAGCTTCACTGCAAGTTAATATCTCTCCCTCCTTCCCCAGCCTCTCCCACTGAAAAAAAAACCCCAAACCTGTCCTACTATATTGCTTGGCCATGAATTTGCTGTATTTATAAGGCAGTTATACATTCCTTTATCCCTACCCACAGAATTATTAATGTAACTTCTCAGATTTCTGGAGGGCCTGTAACACCTAGGGGTTTTTTCAACACAAGTTTGTCATAATATGATATTTAAAGAAGTGTGGAAAAAACCTGGCAACAGCTGCATAGTAATAAAAAAATAATGCTTCAAAATGTGTACTACTTCTAAATATCTGTGAAAAAAGTGGCACAAAATGCAGGTATGCACGGCTCAGGATCAGATGACGTCTTTCAATGGGTAAGAATTGCCACCTTATACAATGTCATTACTAGAACAAAGCTTGCTAAAACACTTTGTACTACCTTGCTTTCTGTCTAGGAATGTCACACACAGAGAGAACATCAGCAGTATGGTCATACATGCAAAGTTTTCTAAAGCAGTGGTAATTCATTTCAGTTACATAGTACCATCCCAAGGACTCATTTTGCACCCTGCAGCAATGTGTGATGTCCAGCAGAGACAGGATGCAAAACCAAATATTACTAATAAAGCCTTTCTCTTTTGCCTTGTAACCACTACTTTCCCATCTACACACATTCTCCACAGACAATACTGAATATAATTCAGCTAAAATACATACCATTTCCTTGAATTATTTCTGAAGCACACTGGTCCAAGACAGACATATTTGCCAAGATTGTTACAACCTGTTATTAAAAAGAGAAGAAAATATGAAGTATCGCCCAACAATTCAGTAATATTAAATAGGACTGTGGTTTATAAAATCAGTATGGCAGAAATGTGGCAAGCACAATAAAATTTCAAAGCATTCTTCAGCTGAACAGTCTATTCCCACCTTTGTGATTTCTCAGGGGTCTTTATCTTACATATGACTAACTGAAATCCAAACAACAAAAGTAAAACCTCTTTTCCTCATGCTCCTATATGCATGCATAAAAGTCTGTCATATAGAGATCTATGCAGCAGATTTGTTCATTGGTCAAATTGTTAGAAAGAGGAAGATAAAAATGCTGAGAAATCCTCGCAATTGATGTGGAGTTTTGAGGCTTCATTAAAGGGAGAATTTAAGGAATACTTTTCAGTTTTCTTGAAGCCACAAGTTGTGTGTACGCCAAAGTACTGTCCCAAAATGAGCTGTATCTAAGAATCCATTTATAACTTTCCTGAGCTGAGGCCAAAGCACATTTTGAGATCCTTATTTACAGAATTTCTTATCCAAGATTGCCCTGTTTTCAAGATTAGGTGTAACTCAACCTGCTTACAGTGATGCAATGAGCTGTTGACAGAGACAGGATCATGTGGAAATTTTGGCTTTCAACCACCTATTTCCTTCATTGATATCACATACTTTCATACATCCTGCAAGATAGTATTTTTTACTTTATCCTCCAAATAACTTGCTTTCTGCATGCAAACACATCTCAGCATTAACAGCATATGTGAGGGATCAAATAATAAATGTTATAGACCATTAGAGTACAAAATATAAATAATATTATTTCTTCAGAGGTTTTCATTTTCTCTACTCTAGTTGAGAAACACTGACCAGCCTCAATGATCAGTTTGAGAACTAGTTATCAGCATTTTAACGGTACAGTGTCAGTTCAAAAATAAGCAAACTTCTTAGACGTAAGTAGGCATGAGATCAAATCACCATTCTGATCTCACTTTGCCATTTTAATAACAAGGATGACTCATTTTCATTGCTGTGACATAAAGGTCTTCCACTTTTGAAGGCAGTGTTACAGTGTCATCTCTCTGAATAAATACACTTACTTAGGATGCAAATGAGTTGCTGAAACTCTACAGAGTGACAGGTAGAAATATGGCAACTCAGTATATGTCTATGTATTTATTCCATATTAATTATTAACTGTGTTTCAGGCAGAGTGTATATGTTTTCTCATTCTAAATTATATCCTGTTAATGAAAATTGCTTCCTCTATGCAGAATCTGTACCCCATGTGGCTCTCTAAGCCACAGATGAAGAATTCAATTAACCACAATTTGAATACATGCCAATTATTCCACTGCTTCAAGTTATTTTGTCTAATAAGTATTTTCATACATAAAAATATTTTGTGTGTGTCTTTTGACACCAAAAATTGTTTGAAGTTTTATCTATACTTCCTTTGCATTGATTATGTGGCCCCTATATTTTGCAATGTATTTATGGACTAGCCTAATGTGTTTACATGTAACTTTCTCCAGAGGGGTTTATAAAAGACCCTTACCATCAATAACCATCAAGTTCCACCTATATTATCTTTTAAAAATCTTGGTAGGATTTGAAAGGCAGTTAAAACATAGATAGCTCACTCAATATGGATATATTTTTCTTTCCTCAAAGAAGTCACATTTTCCTGTGATGTCAACAATGTAACGTGAAATAGCACAACATAAGCACGTAACAGGCAAGCTGAATACAAGTTGACTTTAAATGCTTTATTTACCCTATACTTGTCTATTTTAAAATTCACTATACATACAGCTTCCATGAAAATTTCTTCTGTAATGCAGACCAAAGTTGAAGGATGTTTAATACTGAGGATGAACTCTTTAGAGGAAAACACAAACTTAAATGTAGATTCAATTTGCTTTGAAAAGTAACACTTCTGTGAGCGCTGGTATTAATGAAGTCTCATTTCTCTTGGATTTAGAGTTGATCAAAAGCCACAAACAGAATTTTTCCAGTGGCATCTCTCCCACAGTAGACTTCTTTTGGTCTAATCATACCTAGGCTCATGCTGCAGTTTTTATCTCTCTTTTCCCATTGTCTGGTTTCAAATTTCATAAAAACTTAAGCAGTCTCTCAAAAATAAGTGAAGTCCTGTTGAATCTGCAAACCAGTTCAGATGTTATTGTGAGACATGAAGCCCACAGATACAGATAAAAGAGACTGTCTAAGCCTCATTTCCGTCAAGAAACTAGGTGAAAATTATTGTGAAAAAGATATTCCAAAGCCTCTTTTAGAATTTTAATGATTTTGTAATTATTGATAGGCTTGAATATATTTAACATGGAATCTCTCCTATTCAACTGCAATATTTAATATCAATTGCTTTAATGCTTTAATTGTTCAAGACATCTATAAAAATTACACTCCAAGATTATAAAGGACTGGCACCTGAGACAATTTATGATTCTTGCAATTTTTCCGAATTCCTAAACCATGCAATGAACTTGTAGTCAGCTCAATAAAAAAGAACATATCCCAAAGACAGGACACATGAGCTCTGATCATTTGTGCTACTATACCATGCAGAAAGTCTGTGCTGTAGCCACCCACAAACTCCAGTACACTAGTGATATCTTGATATGTGGCACCTGCGGATGTGCAAAGACTGACACGGACTTTCCAGAGGGAAAAATATAAAATTAAAAAAGTTGCTTCATCATATGTGGAATTTTTTAATGAAACTACTGATCTTACATTCTTTTGCCAAATCTAATGGACGATTTTTAGTGGACTGCCTTAGAAGCTGCCTCGCAGGTGCTGCAAGGGCTGATCCTATGCAGTTTAGTTCCCTGACTCAGTGCCAGGATGTGTGCTGAACAGATTTGTTCTGCAGCTAGATCTTGATCCATGGATCTCCAGTATCTGTATTCTAGCAGAGCTCTTTAACAGACTAACCCAGGCTAGTGTACACTCTAGTCTCTGTTTTCCAGATCCATCAAGAATCGTAAGTGTTTCTCTATTCCAGGACTCTGATAAACCTGGTACCTGGTTCTTCGAGAGAACTGGCAGCCCTAAAACCACTAGTAATGTACACCATAGAAGAATAGACCTGCTCAACAAATAATGAACTATATACATTTTTTGACACCAGATGAAAGCCAAATTATTCAAAACAACCAGAGGAATAGGCCTCTGGGTTTTACCCCTGTGTTCACCACCTACCTGTTAAAAAGACGTGCTATGCACCATGTACCTAAACCACATAGTAGTGAGTCACAGTAAAACACGAAATGCCAGGAAAAGAATTCTGACCAGTTTATGGTTTAGCACCTTTTGAAGAGGCACTAACTTATCAAAATATTAACATTCAGATAGTTCCACTGGGACTACTAAGACTTTTCACAAGACCAAGAAACAAAGTACTTAACTTTCAGAATGTAAAAACCATACCCAAAATAAAGTAGCTTTAAAAGTACACCTTTAAATCATTTGTTGGTAGACAGAGTATGCAGATATATATGCGGGGAAGGGGGGCCCCTTCAGATCCGTAGAAAAATTCCCTATTTAATAAACCTAAAAATAATAGAGCTATTTCATACTTTTCAAATGTCAGTACAGGATCGTGTTGCTAGTCTCACAGTTGCCCTGGAAATTAATCTAAAACCTAACTAAAAATTTATTTCTATAGGCAATATAAGTAAACAGGTACGTCCTTGTGGTGACGATATCATCCATTATTGTAAAATTGGCAGTGCTAATCTTGTTGGTTACTCTAGAAAATAAAATCTATTTTTATAACTTGAAAAGTGATTTTTGTTCCACAGTTTCCTTTCACTCACCCAGCCTTTCAAACATACTGAATTTGTCAATGATGAACCTTCCTTTTCAGTTCTGTAGCCTGCTTTGCACTGAACCATAGGAATTTTAGTTGTCAAGAGTGATTTAAATTAGAGAAACCATGGTTAATTAAGAACTTTTAAAACAGTTTTGTTCAAAATCTCTATATCAACAGTTAATTTGGGAATTCTCTTGCTAAAAAAAAATAATCACTAACACTCTAGTCACACTTTTCCTTCTAAACGACTAGTTGTGACTAATGCTCATTAACCAGTGCACAAAGGTACTGAACCTTTGTTGCAAAAGTGAAAACTAAATGAAAATGCTTTATTATAAACTAAGATACATACACTGAGATTGTAAATCTCAAATGCTTTAGTTAACAAAGAGTTTAAAACCTAAAAAGCACATAGAAAAGAGAAGGTTGCTTTGATAACTTTCCCTTACTGGGAGATTTAAGATGATCTATAAGTGTTTCTCATCATTGTGAAACCAGCTACTCAGGAAGAAAGATGCAATTGGATTTGGAAGATGAAAGCGCAGATTTTGGCCTGTTAAAGAGGCAATATCTTCCACATTTGAGGGTCACTTACCTCTCTTGGAGGACGGGGAGGTGTCTACAAAGCTGAAAGATGTGATGCTAATATAGCTTTATTGATAATAAAGGCATAGTGTTCAGTAGGTTTTATTGGCAGTTCCAACATAAATAGAAGGACATAAGCTCAAAATGACCCTTAGCAAGTAATTTAACTGAGTGGCAAAGTAGATCAATATAGAATCGCTAATTTTCTTAGTTAATTACTCCTTCAATGCTGATTCATCGCTAAGTAAAATTATTTTTCTATGTATTACAAGAGTATTTTGTAATTCATTCAAATAAATGATATAAGGATAAATCAGAGTGTGTCTGCAAAGTTCCATCTTGCAGACACCCCGAAAGGGCATCTGACAACTAATCAGAAGCAATATAGAGTTTTTGTTTCTGAATGTAAACCAAAAACATCTGAACTTCACAATTCAAGATCAATCCACACAGAAACAGCAAAAGAGTACATAGAGCAGGGGTCAAGAACAGGCATTATATCAAGTCTAAGTAGAAAAACCTTTTAAGACACTATTTATTGGGAGAAAAAGCTTTGCTAAGAAATCTTTAGAAAACAAACTTAATTC